TTGATTATATTAATATTATTAAAAGTAGTAACAAATTTACATCAATTAATACTGATGTGTTAAATTTTGAATTGTTATTTGATAATTATTTTAATTCATGTATTGATACTAATATAAATTTTAGCGAAATTAAGCGCATTGATTATGAGCCAAATGGTATTGTTAAATTTTCATGTAATTACGATATTGGCTCAAGTTTTGAAAATTTGATAAAACCTTTCATTACTATCAATAATATTAGAAATTGTTTTTCTAAAATAATTAAAGCAAAAAAATCTATTATAAATCGTAGTAAAATACGCGATGTTAAGTCTTTTAAAATATATAGATGATAATAATCAAGAAATTATAAATAACTATTTAAAAGACTGAAATTTGATTATGTAATAAATTTGAATAATATATTATAATATATTAAATAAAATAAAATTTAATTCTTTATAACTTATGTTTATATTAATTTTATGTCATTTTTAATCCATTCATTTAATTAACACATTACCTATTAATAGTTCATAACCAAGTATATGCATTTCGAGATAACCGGTTATTCCATTGACTCATTCATATGTATATGCAATGCAGGTAAACACCTTGATGAAACTAGTAAAAAGTGTGTCGATGACAATTGCAAACTATTACAACATTGGGATGTGACTCAAAAGAAATGTATTTGCGATGATGGTTCAAAAGAGGATAGAAAAGGTAATTGCGTGTGCATTGAGGGAAAACACCTTGATGAAGCTGGTAAAAAATCTGTCGATAATAACTGCGAAGAAATGTCTCATTGGGATGACACTCAAGGAATGTGTATGTGCGACAAAGGAGCAAAACGAGATCCCCAGTCACACAAATGCGTTTGTCCAGATGGAACTCACTATGATGCGACGGCAAAAGAATGTATTAAAAATTAAGATAAAACTATTAATATTCAGAAATTATACAGTATTATCAATATGAATAAATACTGGGCCGTAAAATTTTAAGTTATTAAAAATTTTACTAAAATTAAGCTCAATAAAAGATTGAAAAATAATGTAATACAATAAAAAATATTATAATTAAAATATGAGTGAAACAAAAAATATTAAAAATTTAGATTAAATTATAAATTATGTAATGAAATATTTTCAATTATTGCAACTTGCGATCACTTTAAATTTCACCATTTAAATCACTGATTAAACTATTTATGTTAATAAAATATAAACAATATTCGAATCAAAATGTTCAGGGGTTTTAATATTTTTATATTAGTAATAGACAATAAACCCAAATTGAATACCTTGGTTATAAGTAATTTATAGATACAAAGATATTTTAAAGTGACTTTAAAATGTTTTAAATATGTTTATAAAATGCATGAATCCTTACAAAGTTTTATGCGATAAAGATATTGATGCTCTTATATTAGAAACAGTTGAAAAATATTATGCATTTAATATAAATGCAATTAATCTGAATTCAAATAAAGTAACTAGTACTTGCGTCACAAAGCAAATATATACCAGTATATGTGATACCGGTGAGCACATGGATGATAATTCAGGATGGATGATGATGTCTCACTGGGATATAAGTCAGGAGAAATGTGTTTGCGATACAGGCGCGCATAAAGATCCAACAACCTTAAAGTGTGTATGCGATAATGGGAAACACTTTGATGAGGCATCTAAAAAGTGTATTGATAATAATTGCGAAGAGATTTCTCACTGGGATGTCACTCAATTAATGTGTACGTGCTACCAAGGTGTAACACGAGATCCAGTACCACACAAATGCATTTGCCCAGACGAAACACATTATGATAAGGCAACAAGGGCTTGTGTTAAATAAAGTGGTGTTCAGGTTAAATTATCCAAACTCGTTAAAATTAAAAATTTAAATAAATAAACTCTATTAATTTTTAAAAATTAAGAATAAATATAATTAATTATTATAAATATATAAATAAATTGGTAGTTTATGAAGTAATTTCAACAAATTTAGAATAAAATAAGTGAATTAAGATGATATTAAGTATATAACTTACATTCTATGGTATTTACAAACTAAAATATAATTAAAATAACGATATCAAAAATTGATACAAATAATTAAATTTAATTTTAATTAATTATTTAAATAAATAAATAAAAATTGTGATTTTAGATAAATAATAATTTTAGGAATTTCTATTATTTTTCCTTTATTCAAATGGAAAATAATAAACATTTACCTCAATATATTGTATAATGATCCAAATCTACTGTATAAACTAAACAAATGATTTAATTTTATATATCATAATAATAAACTATGCTATTGTTTTGGTGTATTAAATATTTTGTATTACTATAAAAATTAATACTGAAGTTTAACGTATATATTAATTTGCGTTAATTTATAAATAATATATTATTATCATAAATTTTTCATTTGTTATATAATATTATACAACTACGTTAGTCTCACTTATTACAGGTTATTTTAACTTAGTATTATTATCATTTGTAAGTGTTGTAATTCAGCAATAGGTTAATTATTTTTTGATGAAAAGTACAGTTTATAAGTGTTTACTTATATAGTATATTTAATCTTAGTACATTTTGCTCTATTATATAACATTTAAACGTCAAACAACAGATTATTTAAGAAAAATATTTTAATACAAGTTATTGCTAATCAGTTTTATTTGGAAATTTATTAATAATATTAATTTTGTTATAGTAATTTAATTTAGTACTGCTACGATTTCTAATAAAATACTTTGATCATTACTAATATATATTTTTGTGTAAACACCACTAGCATGAAAGGTTAGTTTATTTATTTATTTTTATATTTAATTTAATTTTATTATATTACTTTTATTTTGTACTATTTAAAATTTAAAGTGAGTAACTCATAATTAGTAGGGTTAAAATTTTTAAAAATAAAATAAATGAGTCACTTTAATTGTAACTCAATGGGCAATTGTATATACCATAATATGGTGATTCGTACCATATTATGATGATTCCTAAAAAATATAACCTTGACATTCTATATTTATCAATAGTTATGATGTTGTTGACTTTACTAGTAAAATAGAAAATCAAATAAAAAACATTAAGAAATTGATAAAACAATATAATTGTTTGACTTTACAGTACAATATAAAATAATTAATATTAAAAAATTTATAAATATAATTTTATTCTGTATTAAATATTACTAAATATTTAACTATAGCTATTTTATTTAAATATAACTAATTAAAAAAAAGTTAGAAAAGTAATTCATATTTTCATAACATTATATTTTAAAAATATACAGGTATAATCATATTAAGTTATCTGGCTACAGTATATTGTCATGTAACATTTGAATGTCCTAATCCGGATGACCTCAGAGAATGTCAATGTACCAAGGAACTAAAAGAATTATATTGTGGCCCTGGTACCACAGTATTTCCTGTACTTGATACATTTGAGTTTGACACAATAACCCTAGACGGTCTACAAAATCCCCGTGCTATGACATTCAACAATATTACAGCTAAGCATATAATAATTAAATATTCTAACTTGAACAATTTTGCATTCATTATGCTTAAATTGAAAGCAAGTTTAATATCTATTTCATTGAATAATGTTCATAAAGCTGATGATAAACAGGAAATTAGTACAAACGAGCTTGCTATAAATATTCTAACTTGAACAATTTTGCATTCATTACGCTTAAATTGAAAGCAAGTTTAATATCTATTTCATTGAATAATGTTCATAAAGCTGATGATAAACAGGAAATTAGTACAAACGAGCTTGCTACAAAATTAAATACCAATAACATAATTAAATACGAAATCGCCAACTCAAACCTTAATGAAATACCCAAGCTAGATCAATTCTCTAACTTGGTAATCCTAAACCTGAACCGAAATAAAATATCCAAAATTGATCCAGCACAATTTAAAAGCTTTTTGCAGTTATCATCAATTGACTTATCTTACAACCTTATTGAAGAAATTAACAAGGGTGCTTTAGAATTTAATACCAAACAACCTTTAACACTAAACTTAAAACATAATAAAATCACGGAATCACTTGTTAAATATTCTGGCCTAGGTAACATTAATAAAATGCCAATGGAAGTTGATTTAAGCAGCAATGATATTAATGCACTAGACCTTGACACATTTATAAAATATGCCGAATCCGATACATTAAACATAACAATTAACCTGGATAATAATAAAATATCGTGCACATGGAATGGACAAACATCAATTAAATGGATATTTTTCAAACACCCATTTGCATCCAAGTATCTCAAAAATGTTCAATGTTTTAATTACGAAAGTAGGGACCTATACACAATTCCCGAAAGGGAATTCCAAAATTGTCAACCGATTTCCCATTGGGACGATACACAATCAAAATGTGTTTGCGATACTAATGCTCATGAGGATCCTGGTACTCATCAATGCATTTGCGATACTGGTTATAAATGGAATGCCGTTTCTAAAACTTGTATCCACCCGGAGTGTACAGGGGCATCCAAGTGGGATGGTAGTCATTGTACTTGCGTGGTGCATGCTCATATGATTTTAGCAATGACTTGCGTATGCGATACGGGATATAAATGGGATTTGGCTACACAAACTTGTATTGATACCGGTTGCCAAGGTCCATCAGTATGGGATGGGACTAAATGTGCTTGCATAACTAGATCACATCTAAATCCTACTACACAAAAATGCGTATGCGATTCGGGGTTAACGTGGAATCCTACTGTAAAATTATGCCTGGCCATGTGTGATGAAATTTCTCATTGGGACTCAACCCTGGCTAAATGTGTTTGCGACCAGGGATTCCTATTTGATAATGCTACAAAATTATGTACCCTTGATAACTGCGGAGATGCTGCATTTAAAAAGGAGAGTACATGCGAATGTGTACCTAATGCGCATAAAAATGGCGATAAATGTGCATGCAACTTTGGTTACATATTGGGCCCATGGAGTAAATCGTGTGAAAATGACGGGTGTGGTGAGGCTGCTGCTAAAAGGGACGGCCTATGTTATTGTGTAGCCAATGCACATGTAAATGGTACAAACTGTCTATGCAATGAAGGGTATGAATTGGACAGCACCAAAAAAATTTGTATAGGTGACATAAAATAAACTAACTGTTCATCAATCTAATGCAACCTATATAATTTAATATAAAAAAATTTTATAAAAATAATTAAGCTTTTACGTATTTGAGCATAAGATAAATAAAATTGTTTAATTTGTTTTTAATATTTTTAAATATTTTATCATTTAATTATATAGCATAATGATAGACTGATAAATTGTTCTAACAAATATAATTTTGTTATTAGTATCTAATATATTAATTTTTAGATAATACATTGAATTAAATAAAATACTGTGCAATATTAGTTAGCATCAGTAAAATTTAATTACTATAGTTATAGGTTCATAAACAAAAATAAAATAAATAATTTTAAATAATCTATTTGTTTGTATAATATAATATTTTATAACTTATAAAAATTTAATGATTACAAATAAAGGTTAAAATTGTGATAAGTTTAATATTTTGCAAACTCATATTTAACTGAAGTGTTTATAATAATATATAAAATAATAATAGATTATTTAATAAAAACACTTCAAATCAATAAAATATTAATCAATTTCATAATTATCAATATAAGTAGTTTGAAACTGATTAATCTAGCAATGAAAAATTATTCTTATATTTTATCATTAATACTGTGAAGCACTTATTAGTTCATATTTTAATAAAATATAAAATATTATTTAGTAAATGTTTTAATGATTATTGTTCATGCTAATTAAACATTAAAATGAAAGGTAATACAATAATAAAACTCGTATAATAATACAATTTTAAAATTAGATTTTTTATCATTTAAAGATAATAATTGATAATTTTATATTTAATTAAATTTCATATTTTTAAATAAAGTTCCCATAATAATATTTTATTTAACTAATTGCAATGAAATACAGAACGAGTTGTATTCACAAAAATGTATTCCCATGATTGTTTAATTCATTTTATCAAAATATGAAATTAATCATAGTGAAATTAAATTCATTGAATTATAAATAAATAAAATATAAATAAAGTGTTTAAAAAATCAATAATTATAACGAATCATATTTGACGTACTAATAATAATTTAAAATTTATTAATTATTTACTCAAAAAACTGTCACCATAAACTTGATAACTTTGAATAGTTACCTAGTAACGTTATCTTTATAATACTATATATATTTGACTTTTATTAATTAAATACTTAATGAAATGCGCACCTTTAATTCAAAAGATTAAATGTTAGTTAATGTTGCATTAATTGGACAATAATAAATTTTGAACTAATGTCAGAGGTGGGTCATTATTTGTATTAAGCAAAAAATATTGTGGGAATCACTGGAATAAACCCATGAAATATGCACTGATTAAAAGCTCAACCTTATCCAAATAGATATATATTCAATAAATTTATTATCTATTGTTTATACTTTACTTTAATGCGATGTTATTTAATTTGAAAATTTTGCTGGTTGCACTTATGTATAACTTGAACGAATATTTAATTAATGATTTATTATATAACTATCAATATATTAAGAAATAAATATTTATTAGATTTATATAACTGATGTCATGTTTTAAATACATATATAAATAATAATGAAAGGTAAATCAATAATTTAATATTATGTAACATATTTTTGAACTTTACATTTAATTTGTTTTTGATTTTAATTATTTATAACATTTAAATTTAAATTTATTTTTCTGTTGTAACAACATTCTAAAACAATTTTTAAATTATCATATTCAGTGATAATCTTATTGAGTTGGTTTATAATTGTAAATTGCGAGTCAATATTACAAATTGTGCCAACCCCTCCCACAACCTACACCCGGTATCCGACAACAACAACCCCCTACCCAACAACCTACACGCGGTATCCGACAACAACAACCCCCTACCCAACAACCTACACGCGGTATCCGACAACAACAACCCCCTACCCAACAACCTACACGCGGTATCCG